TTTCTCCTTTACACCTTGGACAACTGGCTAACAACATCCCACTAGAACCGGATTCCGCACAGGCTGGATTCTGAGGCTGGGAGGAGTGTGCTTCCCTTAAGGAAGAATGTGGAAGAGAGATGTTTAGTTTATCTGCAGGGCCTTGCAGTCACTCCTAGGTTTCAAAACAACATGTTTACATTCTAGTCCTGCAGTGTGACTCCTTATCCCTCAATCAATAGTGTATCCCAGCCCTGGTCTTATTTTGAGGCATATGGGGAAGAGGGAAGTGAGCAATACATTCACTGGCTGCTCTTCCATTTGGGAGACCAGGCTTTCAGGCTTATTGCAGGAGAGATTGGTTAGGGCTCCTGTTGTGGGGAAAACATTTCAGTTTTAGTGCCATAGGCTGGCAACTGTCCCTTTAACTGCCACAGACTAGGAGGACACAGTGCATCCCTGATTAAAGAGGAGGGTCTGGGACTCTGGATGCAGAATCTAGCTAGCAACTTTACCCCTAGGCTTTACCCTACTCTTGTTTTCCAAACTGTGGCTGGGCTGTTAGTGAGTCAGACCCAGCTCTTGAATCAGAAATCCATTCTAAACAAGACAATGAACGGCCATTTGGGCTGGTAATTGTCTGTCATTTCATGTGTAGAAGCTGGTTGGGAAAAGCCTCACAACCTTTGTGTATTATCATCCTCACTGTAGTACCTAATGGCCCAGATGAGATGGAGCTCCTGGTGTGTTAGGTTCTGTAAGGACACAGAACTGACAGCACCTGCTCCAAAGAACTCACAGTCTAAGCCAGGAACAATGGCTGTGTGTGAATGGAGGCACAGAGAGCTGACATGATTTACCCCACGACACTGAGGAGTGGGGCCTCAGTGGTCAGGGAACCCCTAGGCTTGAGTTGCATCCCCTAGCCAAGGTACCGCCCCCCCTTTAGTTTTCTCAATGAGCAATGAAACACTCCAGGTACTGTCGTCTGGGGTAACACCCAAGAAAAAACATCCTGTTCTGCCCCCAGTGTGTCTGTCTACTTCCAGGAATATAACAACCCACTCAGCCAGAACTGGCCTGATCCTGTCAATGCTGGTGACAGACAAATAAGGAGATAAATAAAAAAACCTCTTAACTCAGCTTGGTGTACCACCTCCAGTACTGTTTGTTTCTGCTCAAAGCCAGAGAAAGAGAACAATATATGTTCCAGGCTTGGAGAATGAATCACAAGCGATGGAGCCAAAACCCCAGATTGGGGGTAGGAAGGGAGAAGGGGTGTCTGCGGAAGGCTCTGTGCTGGTCAGGATCCACAATGGAAATGCCACTGCCACTTAGTCCTGTTTATAGCATACTGCTTATGTGTATAGTGCCAGTAACACGCCAGGTGCTTCACAGACAGATGTGGAGGCAAGGTTTTTGCTCTGAACAGCTCACTGAAAAGAGACACTTTCTGCTTCAACCTGAGCTCTGCTCCATGCCTCAGACTCCACGTCTTAGACATTCCTCACCTTGGCCAGTCCACCCCTCTCTTCTTCTTTCCTTGCCTCCTCACTCTGTAAGTAGGCTTCCGACACACCCCTCCCTTCCCTGGGGTTTCATGCACGCTACAACATATTCTGTAAGAGACTCAGCATGTTCCTTGATCCATGTATTATTCATATGTACATTTCATTCTAAAGCAGCATGTTAATATCTGAGATTTCCATTGTACTTGAGCCATAAAAGAAGGAAACACACAAGAGAAGAAACCTGCTCAGAAGCGTTTCTGGAGGTCCTATTATGTTTTATAACATGAAAGAGTTAATAAAAGAGAGGGAAACGGAAGTGTATCCTTGATGAGTTGGATGTGGAAAGAATGGAGGTGCACTGTGCAAATGGCACAAAGCTGTTTTGATCAGTAAAACCCCAGGATGCTTGTGAGGAAAGCTGGAGGATGTAATCCAGCCAGATGCTGGGCGACACAATAGTAGACTGCAGTTAACTTAGATCACTGCAAAGAAATACACTTTGGGGAAAAGAACCTAAACTTCTATTAATGCCCAGAGAGGCTCTGAACTCAGAGTAGCTTTGTAGGGGAAAGATTCTGAAGTCACCATGGAGTTCAGTTTGCCCAATTCACCATAGACATTTAAAAAGCAAAGATCTTCAAAAGAGAGAGAGAAAAATATGATCTTGAGTAACAGTGAACGCCTCTGTGGAGTTACTAATGGGTCCTTTGGAGAAGCTGGAAATGAGAAGTCCCAGAGAGGCCAATAAAATGAGTCAAGTCCTGTCAGGACTTCCATAAAAGAAATGAGAGTTAGAGCCGTTCCAAAGCTTTTGTTTCCTTTTTGTTTTACCATTCGGTAAAATCTTACCAGTTTGTATGACCAGGTCAGGGAGTGGGGGTACTTGAATCGCAGTGAAAGAATGTAAATGGGAAACAAAAAAAGGGAAATGAGCATCTAATTCACCTAGAGGAGTCAGTGTCCCACAGGGTCTCCATGCTGGAAATCATGACTGGGTTTTACAATAGGTTAATTTGATGGCCAATAATAACCCCTGAAGTTGTGCAAACTAAAAGAAGTGAAATGAAATCTCAGCCCATCAACTAATTCCCAAGGAAGTAATAAGGCCTCCTCTTCTTAGCCATAGCAAGGCACAAGTGACCAGCATCATTATGGGTGTGAGGTTACCATCAGTTATTATCCACTATTAGAATCAACAGTCTAAGGTATAGATGTTAAATTTAGATGAATTGGCTAATTCCTCTGCTGGCCCAGTGCTCCCCACAGTGTTTCAAAGCAGCAGCGCCACATGGAGCCCGGTGTCAGCGGGGAAACCTGGGTTCCATGTGGTGGTGCTGCTGCTTTGAAATGCCGCGGGGAGCCTGGCATTAGGCTCCCCACAGCATTTCAAAGCGATAGCATTGCATGGAGCCTGGGGCCAGTTGGCCCCGGACTGCACGTCGTGTTTCAAAGCGGCAGCAGTCGGTCTGGCCCGAGGCTCCACGTGGTGTTGCCACTTTGAAGAACCCCCTCCTCTTCTCCCGCACCCCTTCCTGCCTCTTTCTGATAGAGGCAGCAAGTGGGAGGAGGGGGGAGTGACTAGTCGACTAATGTGGCAACTAGCTGATAAGTATTTGCTTATCAGATAGTCAAGTAGTCAGTCACATCCCTAGGCTAAGGATCTGATGTGTTACATTATATTTGTACTGCAGTAGTGCCTAGAGGCCTCACTGGAGATTGGGACCTTACATTATGTACCAACATATAGTACAAGACAGCCCCTAGCCCAAAGAGTTTACCATTTACATAGACAAGCCCAACGACCACACCGTCATGCATCGCTTACAGCAGCCGCTGGAATATCAGGCTGAGGACTGACCAGAGGCCTGACCCTGGACATCAGGAGCCAGAATACCAGGGACTACATGATATTGCAAGTCTGATGTGTGGCTGCAGCAGAGAGGGGCTTGTGTCTGGATGAAAGTCTGAGGAAGCATCTGCTGATCGGAAGGTAAGGACAAGAGGGTGGAATTTCATGCAATAGAAAATGGAGAGGCAACAGAGAAATTCAACCCAGTTAAGCATGTGTGAGGGACAGAGAGAGCGAGAGGCCAGAACAGGAGTCTAGTGGTGGTAAAGAGACATAAAGGCAGGATCCCTGACTGCCACACTCACTCTGTGACCTTGGTTAGCTCCCCAAACCTCAGTTCATTCTCCTGTCAAACTGCTATAACATTTACCTCCCTGATGGAGGTAGCATGAGGCATAATTAAAAGGCCTGTTTCTCGTGAGCTTGGAGACCCTGGGCTGGTGTGAAGTGTGATATTTTCCAGCTTGCTCAGAAGCAAGCCAAGAAGATTGAATTGTGGTACAGCCAGGAAAAAAGCCAGGAAATGTAAAGCAGGTCCATCATGCTCAGGGCAGGGCGCACACTCCCATTACATTCTTTCCTTGCAAAAAGTTACCAACCAGCTCCTTGCTGTCTCTGAAAGCTGAGACTGGAGGCAGATACAACCGGAGTGACCCCATCTTAATTAGGGCTGTCCATGATTAAGTTAAACGAATCTCTTCAGTTGGAGACACAACCGTGGACAACTGCTGCCTCTCTCAAGCCGTGCTGGAACTGAGCTACAGAAGGGAGCTGTGGGCCCAGTGCTGGGGAGCAGAAACCCTCTTTGAGTCGGATGCAAGCCAAGGGCCATGAGAAGCTGCAGCAAGTGAGGGAAGGAGGGGGGGGAAGAGAGGGGGGAAGCGTGTCTCAAGGTCAGGCAGGCCTCCGGGTAAAGAGAATTGGAGTGAGGCTTCAGATCCTTTCACTAGGGCTGCATCTAGACTGGCAAGTTTTTCCGCAAAAGCAGCTGCTTTTGCGCAAAAACTTGCCAGCTGTCTACACTGGCCGCTTGATTTTGCGCAAAAGCACTGACACGTGCCTCTGCTGCAGCCAGCCCAGGCAGTGTCAGAGAGAAGTGTGTGGGCGGCAGCCCAGCTGGGGAAGGGAAGCACACCCGTAAGGCAGGCCAGGGTGGTGGAGGGCTGTGTGGTGGAAGCTGCAGGACCTTGGCCGAGTGTGCTTCCTAGTGGCCACTCACTGACCTCATTAGCCTCCCCAGAGATCTGGGAACTAGCCAGCCCCCAGAAGCGTAGCTGGTTTTCTAGTGCAAATGGAGAGAATGATTCTGCTATTGTGGGGCACTTTCCTGGCTTATGCACTATCCTGGTGAAATCAGATAGGCTACGTCTAGACTGGCATGATTTTCCGCAAATGCTTTTAACGGAAAAACGTTTCCGTTAAAAGCATTTGCGGAAAATCATGCCAGTCTAGACGTAGCCTATCTGATTTCACCAGGATAGTGCATAAGCCAGGAAAGTGCCCCACAATAGCAGAATCATTCTCTCCATTTGCACTAGAAAACCAGCTACGCTTCTGGGGGCTGGCTAGTTCCCAGATCTCTGGGGAGGCTAATGAGGTCAG